CTGGCGCCGAGCTGTGTCTGTGATTGACCGCGACAAATAGAGTATTTTTTTTTGAAAAAGAGAAGATTTAATGAGCTGTCAGATTTTATCAGTGTGGAAAGCTGGCTGTGAGGACCAAAGCAGGCTGTTGTGAAGACGAGTGAGTGGCCTGAATTGGGATTTTTTTGACTGTGCACACAATACTTTCTACTCCCTTGTGATCTGAAGAAGCGTCGGGCTTCTTAAATTGTATATTTCATATGACGTTTATAGCCAAAAGGTATCATTTCCCTAAATATAAATTCCTTAAGCATAGCCTTGTGGAAATATGGGCACTACAAGGTGCGAAGTATTTTTTTACTGAAAAATCCCCCAACCCTTCTTTTACTCATTTTTTTCTAATTTATTTTCCTAATGAAAGAGGGAAGTACCTAAGCCTTATGTGCCAACAGAGGAGGAAAGAAGACTCCTCAAAGAATGTGCTGAAGAGAGTGCCCGGTATAGAGGTAAGTTAATTTTGCTGGTAAACTTGGTTTACTTTTCTTCCACCCTAAGTTGTTGTTATGTGAGGCCTTAGAGAAGGAAGATTTGGTCAATATGGCACAACAGTTCATTAGCAAACTTCACAAGGTCTAAGATTGCATCCCACTCAATGCTGGTCTATGTAGGATTTTATATTTATTAAAAGTTTGCAGGACAGGAATTTTGGAAAATGTGTGACATAATTTGCAAGTGTTACGCATTATAACAAGATCCCTTCATATTTTAAGTTAATATTCCTGTTAAAACTCTGAAAATCTATATAATTAATGAAGTCTCACAATTTTTATTCCTCTGATTATTCTTTTTTATTATTTATTCACTTTTATTTGCGTTTGTTGTTGTCTTTAGAATGCAAGAATAAAATAGTAACATAGATTGCTTTCTGTCTTTATGGAGATTTGTGAAGAGAGCAATGTATAAGTAGTCACCTCGGGTTTTGGAGAAAATTTCTGTGTCTATGCATGGCCAGGTGTTTGGACGGTCTTCCCCCATCAATAAACGTCACAACTCTCAAGAATGATTCTGCAGCCAGTAATGATTTCTGTGGTACAGCTAGCATCCAGGAGTAATAAACTTCATTGCTTTCACAGAACGCGTCTCAATTTATTTGAAATACCGATGTTATGTTGGGGTATTTTTTTCACAATACATTGAGAACCGATGGAGTTACTTCTGAACATTGTTTGCGTAGTCCAAAGATTCAGTGCATACCTGTTTCTTACATACCTGGTTAAGAGGTTTGAACAAACCTTCTTATGTGATTATTGACCACTATTTTACCACATGCTTGTGGATTCCTCCTCGTGCTAATAGGTGCATGAGCAGAAACTAGGATGGTTGAAGAATTTAGCAGTTGATTTGCTAAATTTAGCACACTGGGGATGTGATTTCTCCTGGAAGCCAGTACTTTCAGGGCGAGCTTCTAAGGCATCGTGATTTTGAATTAGCGATTCAAAGTTCTGCTTTATCTTTCTGCATTGCTTTGGCATTCCCTTCCACTTTTCAAATACCTGGAGACCTTCAGCTTGTGTGCTACAATCTAGCCATTTTCATTATATTTTTATAAGTGAAAAGAGGTTCATTGGTACTAAGATGATGACTGATTATGACTTGTTGATAATGGGGGCTGGTTAGCTCAGTCGGTTAGAGCGTGGTGCTGATAACCCCAAGGCCGTGGGTTCGATCCCCATTCGGTCCCTATGTGTTGCCTGATCTAGTTGAGAAGTGTCCCTGCCCATGACAGGGAGGTTGGATTAAATGACCTCTAAGGTCCCTTCCAGCCTAGGCCATTCTATGATTCTGTGATTATCAACAACTCATAAGAAGACAAGAGGAGGGAGATGTGTGCTCTTCTCGAGGTGTTCTGTGAGTTTTTGGTTGACAGTGTCACATCCTGCCCCAGGCATCTTTATACAGAAACTGAAGAAACAACACATGAGTGTTGTTATGAAGCCCTAAATTTTTTTTTTGACTAATTTCACTTTAGGGAGCTACAAGAGATACTGAGTTTTGGGTTTTTTTCAGGGATTGCATAGTGTTGTGCTGTCTCACTGCGAGAACCTAAAGCCCATCACTATTTCTTAGGTCTCCTGTCTTCATTTTGTTGTTCTGTGTTACATGTACCTATGTTGTCATATTTGCTGCATTAAATACATGCAATTTGAATGCCCCTTTGCCAGAGGTATGGGCTGCCTGTGTGACTGCCCTCATATCCTCATTTCTTATTGTATCAGTTCTTCTTATTCGCATGCAGCCAATTTTTAAACGCTCATACAAACCCTCTCTGTTTTGCCATAGTTTCTGTTGACAGCTTCCATTTCAGAAACGCTTACTAGTCATCTCGTAATTCAGTTTAGTAATATGCTTTACTGGTATTACTAATTTTTAATCACATTATAATATAATACAAGTTCTAATATTGTTAAAAATTCACACTGCAATCTATAGTTTTATCCTTTTGTGCTTTTAATCTCACTAACAAAATAAAACCAAACTGATAAGTGATTATCCTCCTATAATAAGAGGTTATCCCCCCTGGTGAGGCTGTACCTCGAATCCTGTGTCCAGAAGGGCTTTGAACCAAAGAACCAAATTTTTTTCTTAAAAGTGGCATCGAGTCGCATTTACCCTAAAATGCTTCTTGGACTCCTAATCTAGTTTAGAGCTGCCAGAATTTGTGAAGGAATAAACTGTTAGTTTGCAAAGTACATTTCAAAGCTGTGCTATCCAAATTCTAAAAAATATAATTTATCTTAAATGGGAACTTAATTAGCAGAAATTGTGCATCGAAACACTATAAACATCTAGTGCTATTGCAAAAATTTCTCCCCTAGGTAAAGTCATTGAGCCATTTTGTAACATGCACATTTGCAGACTGGCACAAACTGTAATTTCACTATGACATCTAAATCTTTAATGTAATTAGCTCTAGTCTTCTGTCATGTTCGTTATTTCATTGTCACTGTATATCGTGAAGGGGTGATGGTCTTTACAAGTAGTTTCAAAGTTAATCTTCCCAATATCATAATTATCATTGCTTGAGATACGCATTCCTTTTGTTTCTTGCCATCTTCAAGTGCTTCTTGGCACCTGAAGTCTTTCAATATGATAAAAATTTACATGAACTGTTAAGCTGATTGCAATAAGCGTAATGCTTTTCCGTGTTTGTCGTCCTCTCTGCATTCCTGACCCTACCCCCGAGTTGTACCAGTTGACCCATGAGCTGCAGAAACAGCTACCCCATTCTTCAGTTTGCTTCTGAATAAAACCTGTCACGTAGTTTTAATCAATTTACATCTCTTTTAGTAGTTACGCTTTTCCTAAAGCTTTTCCTAAAGTTCTTACGTTAAAACAAAATCAAGACTTTTGGCTATCAAAAGTTTTTAAAGGCACGGACCTCTATTTAACTACCTTCTGCCCGGTGTGTCAGTTCTGCGCCTTGATGCTGTAGCGGTTGTAACTAGACCTGGAATCTTGTCCTTAGAGCTTTATCCCATCTGGCCTTGGCTTTTGTATTTTAGAAAGCACAAAGTTAGTGAGGCAGGATGGCTCATTAACCAGTACCGCGTAATTTGTCCTAGGCCTTAAAAACCGGAATTGAGAATGTTTTGTGATTTTTATGCAGTTTGTCAATTGTATCTATGCTTACATACCTATAAAAACGAGCTCAGTAAGGCCTATCAACTCTTATTGCATATTTTGTTAAATGTGGTTGAAAATACTGAAAATCATATTTTAAGCAACTTCTCTTCTTCTTCACAGCTTTTCCTTTGGCTGCAGTGAGCATGCTTGGTACTAGTTTCTTAATTAAGAGAGGTAAAGTGTAAACATACTTCGGGTTAATTTGGATTTGCTCAGATGAAATATGTTTCTGCTGTTAATGAAGTTATGATAATAGTAGACTATCTAATCTACTTGTAAATACCTAATTCTACTTGTGGAGTATCTGATCTACTTGTATCTAATCTACTCTTAAGCTGCTTGACTTGCAGTTCCTAAAAAAAAAAGGAGCAAAACTTTTAGTAAAATCAAACTCATATTCGTTTTTATTTTGACAAGCACAATATCTCAGTGGTTATGCAACAATATATTCTATAGTGTAAAGTAATACTGCATGAGATACAATCAAAGAGGTAATTCTTAGATTTTTTTTTTTGTCATTTTTATGGGAAATTCAGATGTTAAGTTTTCTCGAATTTTCTTTAACCTTAAAGCATCAAAGAGTAACTTGCTACTTACAAACATAACTACAGTGTAACCTACAAATATGACTACAGTTTATGTTTTTCAGCCTAAGTCTTAGTAACTTATTAGTGATTATTTTGATCCTTTTTTTCAGGTGTTCTAAGAGACAGCTCAAGATTTGGCTCTTTTATGAAAGTTGCATGTAAGTAAAAGCCTTAGGTTCTGGAGATGTAATTCCCCCAAGACATCCGGCTGATTCACCTTGACCCTGCTCTGTGCTTATGTTGGTACAGCTGTGCCTCAGAGGAGTAAATGATCTGATACATCCCTGTTTAAGTTTCACTTTCCTGCAGTTAATTCCATCAGTCAGCAGCTTTGTAGCTGTTTGTTAGCTGCAGCATCTGGTACTGCAAGAATCTGTTCAGTGTCAAGCGTAGAGCATTTCATTTATCCGCAGTCTTTGGATTCGTGCAGCATGTCTTGGGCAAGTGTTTGTTTATAGGCTTTCCATAAAATTGTTTGACAAGTGTAATGTGATAATTTAAGATAAGAACATTATAAATAGATACCGTACAAGCTTACTTTAAATTACTTTGCAGAGTGCACCCACCCCTCCCTTCCTAATGTGAAGGTCTTTATTCATGTGTCTCGCTTGTTCCATTCAGGCTATTTTAGTGCTTTTTTTTCCCTGGACATTATGTATATACAATTGTAGGAAAACAGCTATTTCAGGTGAATGATTTTGGATTAAGTATAATCAAAAAGAAATTAATGAATTAACCTTTTAAATGTAATCCATGACAGTAAAACAGGAAGTTGCCATCTTGCCAATCTGCCCAGATACAGCCATTTACTCTTACAGTTTACTTCAGAGGGACAAGGGTAAAACCCATGATTTGTGGTGAAGGAAGTGTTGTTTAAACAGAGAAAATGAATGTGAGAGACTAGGGCTACCATTTGTTTATGCTAAATTCTCTCGCTTTCTTTGAACACCAAACAATGGTATAACACAAACAGTTCTAATAAATAATAGAATTACCACTTCCCTGGTAGCTTCTACGCATTTCTGGTTAAGGGGCACGTTCCCCCTGTTTAGTAGAATTAGGTATTAAAATCAAGCAAAAAAGTAGGGAGCAGCTTGACTGGACCAGTTATTCTTGATATTAAGGTTATAAGCCAAAATACTTTTGGCTTTTCCTTTTCGATGTACACTGGAGGCATATGGACTTCTATTTTATACTAAAAAGATTTTCCATACGGAGTGTGTTTGCAGTGTTTTTCAGTAGGTAACTTCATGTGGTTTGTGTGCATTTTAGTTACAAGGATTTTTCTGGGACGCACTTGGAGTATGAAAGGTCTGAGTTAAGCAGATTTCATTTCATTCTCATATTGCTTAGGTCAGTTGTGCCTACTGTCTGCAGGATCTTCCAGAAAACTATTGCCAGGAACATAGTTTACAGGTCCAAGTTACGTCTCGTAATTTAACTGCACATTCCTTCTGCAGCAAAATCTCATTAAAGGAAGCAGTGCAGTCGTGTTTTGGTTTGTTTTTTTCTTTCCTCCACCAGTTCTGAAAGAAGAGCATATGCGATTGCAAGCACTGCTGCTGATTTGTAGCTGGCTGACGTTAAACAGCAGCAAGACAGTTAGTTCTTGCTTTTCTGGCGTCACTGATCTGAGCATATCGCTGCTGTATCTGTTGATTACAACAGTCTGTCTTTGGTAATTGTGCGTGCCACTTGTCCTTGTTAGATTCTTTTTCTGAAGAGTAACTATGCCTGATTATGGTCTTTTATATTGAGTTAGGTCTTTTTTAGCCTCCTGCTTTGCCCTTCCTGGTTTTATGTTGGAAGTTGAGAGGTGGTTTATTTTCTGGATAGCAATGTTCCGATGCCAGGATGTTCTTCTGCCTATAGGAATTACTCTCAGTAGTCTTGTAGGCACTCTGACAATTTATTGGAACTTCTAGTTAGCGATGACCCATAGCCTACACTGACAGCGTCGCCCTTCAACAGAGCGTAGAACTATTGTTCCTCTGTGCCCCTTTGGCAAACAAGTGCAAGGTCTCTATGTCCTGCTTCATGTTAGGTGGGACCTGAACTCTTTTATCAATCCCTGATCAGCTTCTCTGAGGTCTTGTCACAGTGAAGACAGAAGAAACAGAGAGCAACAATACCTGATTTACTATGCTAGCTTCAAAAATGTGGATCATCTGGGTGTTAATTCTGTAATAAGAAAAAACAGGAATTTTGGCCAAAAATTACTTCATGTGAAACATCTTACAGAGAGATGCTTCCACTTTTCTTGATGGGAAGGCCTCAAGAAAAGGAGACTATCTCTTTGTAATTTATGCCAAACATTAATCAACTTTGCTGCTTAGCTTTATTGTGCTGACTATTTAGTTTGAATTCTTGTGGGGCCGTTTTTTACTTTAGGGGCTTGTAATCTTCCCCTTTGTGCGTATTTACAGCATTTGGGCTGTCTTCTCATGTTCTTGACCTTCTAAACAGCTAAAGACTTACATTTCTCGTTGGTAAACTTCACTCATAGTTGTGGCTGAAAATAGGGACATTAGAACAGTACCAGTACAACAGGGCAGGTTAAAAATCCCCTTTTATATTGATTGCCAGGCTCTGTAATCTGCAATGTGAGGACCTCAGAGGATTAATGTTACTGGTAATTAACTCTTTCCTGATTTAAAGATGATTGAGAGTCTTTAGTTTTTGTACTTGGAAAATAGTCATTGCATATGAAAGAAGGGTCTAGTCCTTTTCTCCTACAAAGTGAACAACAAAATTTTCGTTAATTGCCATTGAATCCTCCATGCTCCTTCATACTCCATTTGACCCACTCATAAACTGAGTGAGTCAAAATGGAAATCAGTTTTTAGCCTAGAAAGAGCTATCACGATGGTTGAGTCTTATGTCTTGTCTAGCAAATGGAAGTAGCTTGTGCACTGAATTGAAAGCATTTGCCTAGTGATTGTGAGGGTTCAGCTAATTCGGTTGTTTGCCCTCCAGAAACCATATAGTAGAACCCTTTTCAGAAGATACTGAGCCTAATGCTGGGTTTATTTCGATTTCTTTTCATAGTGGTGAAAGCCTTTTCAAGATTCAGCTGTTCCAATGGATTAAATCAGCAGAATTTATTACCATTGTTTATTCCTGACTGGTTTATCAGCTTTTATAGTTGTTATTTCTGGATGTTGGGACAAACTGATTGCAATTATTTTTCTTTTTTTTGTCACCTTTCATTCATCGAGTACTAGCTGGAATCATCAGATGCTCCTGCCATGTCTCAGCCATTGCTCTGTGTCTGTTCAGCTGTGGCATTTGGGTTTTTTTACCCTCTGTCTGCAAAAGAAGCAGAGAAAGATGATTAGTGCATGGTTTTGGTTTAGATCTAAAGTGTTGTGATTTTTTATTTTGTTCAAGATACTGTATAATTTATTTGAAATTATTATTTTAAAACTACCTTGACTATTGTGACACAGCTTATAAACCCATCTTTCTTTCTTTTAAAAAAGTTGCTGGAATGTGTGGATACCTGGCTGGAAAGATATCCTACTTGCCAATCTGTAGCGAGAAATTTAAGAAACTGAAGGATTCCCCAATAGGAGATGTTCTACGACAAGCTCAGAGACATAGTTCACATAAGTAAGAATTTAATTCTATTCTAAATTTAAAACTTATTCTTGAATAAGACATTTTAATCATTAACAGATCAAGGCTACATTTGCAGCTTTCAAAGACGTTCAGAGCAGCACCTTTTCTCTTTCCCGTATTATCTCAAATCTATGACTTTCAGGAAGCTGTTTCTGTATCAGTTGGCCGGCTATAAAATGTGCTTTTTGACCTCTATACGTACAACTGATCACTTTGAGGAGTAGAGAAAGAAACATTTTACTTAACAAAATATATTCCTTGTAAATTAAGATTTATGGTTTTTTTCCTGTGGAATTTACTTACTGTAGTGTGACAGCAGAAATTGCCTCCTTAGTTTAGAAGTAAGCTAACTGAAATAAAACTTCTGGAAGTTTTTCCCATAGTTGAGTTTGATCGAAGTAGGAAGAGGGTGGAAATGATTTCAATGTTTATCAAAGGAAAGAGCTCAGTAAACAATATCGGTGCAGGAAGAAGCATGGTGGTCAAACTTACTGCTGTTTGTTTAAATCCTTTACATCTGTAATGGCATTATGCTCTACATATGAGAAACTCATCAGGTTCTTAAAACTATTTCCTGTTTTGTTCCAGAATGTTTTCTACCTCAAGTGGGTTTTAATTGCAAACTACTTTTGGAATATCTCACTTAAACCTTTGGTTCAAAACTGGGAGTCTAGTGTTTGGATAGTGAGGAGCAGTCCTGCTATGAATGTGTTAAGATTTGTTTAAAGTTAATAAAAGATTGTATTAAATTCTTAATTACGTTATAATTTCAAATTTATGACTATTATGTCTGCAAGATTTGCCTTCGTTCCGAAATCTTTATGTTTTTATGGCATCAAACATAATTTTAGGAATTGCCACTTTACATACTAAGTGTATAAACTCAGCTGAATTGGAGCTGGACTTGTCCCTCCACCTGCTCCACTTTCTAAAAATAGTTTGTCGTGATTGTTAACCATGTTTACTCGAGGTGAGAACCTGTTTAAATGCCATCATCTGCTGCACCAATAAGTCCCTTCAACATTTAATGGCGCATTCTTTTGTATCTGTAAAATTCTGTTTCCTGAGTGATAAATTCCTTTTTCTTCTCTTGGTTGAATGATTAATTTAAATTCATTCCAATTGCATTTTTGTCCCTACATGCTACTCTTTTAAGCCAGCAGCAGAAATCATTACGATTTCATGGTCATTATACAGCTACAAATTAGTGCATTTTGGTAGTTCTGATTTACAGTTTTAAAATAGATACGGAGCTCAAAGATCAGATAGTTCTTGAAAGCTGCATTTGCCTTACTTAAAAAAATAATTGAGGCAATAAAATGACTTCACTCTGTATGTTTATTGTGAGACTCAAACAAAGACTAATTGCAAATGCTTCTCATGGAACTAAAAGAACAGCTAAAAAGAAATTTAAAGTGAAAAAGGAATAAATACTTGAGACGTTCCAGTGGCATCAAGTGGTGACATTCTCGATAAAGAGACATGTTGTACAGTGGTTTGCAGGGTCATTCTGAGTGTGTAGCAAATGCTTTAGAATATCAGGCATCAGTTTCTGGAACGTTCTTTAGATGGTCTTACCTTTCTCTCTTAAGAGAAAATTCATTAATGTTTCTGCTGCATGAAGCAACTCAATAAGCCTTCATAATGTAATTTTCCCGATACAGCTCTCCATTCTCCTTTTCTTCTACTGTTGGGTATGGATCAATTACACCAGCTTCTAATGATGAAGGGGTTTAAATTGCAAATTCTCCCTGAAAGGCCTTTAACTATAGTTCATCCTACCACTAGTAACAAGGGCACACACCCTGCACTATTTGTGTCTGGTGTGTTTTATTTATCTGAATATTCCCTGGGGAAAGGGATTGTCATTCTTGTCTTCTGCTTGGGAGATTTTCAGGTATGAGTTAAGCTTCTAGGAGGAATGGGAAAAGTCGTAGGAAAGGAACCATATAGGCCTCTTGCAATGTAAATTAAAAAAATAAAACACCCCAAACGTGTTTTTTTTTAAGATTATAATTCATGTTGGAAACTAAACCACCAAAAATAAAAGGGTATTTTTTTGAACTGCATATATTGTTACTCTTACAGTTCCATTTTTAACTTTAGTTTAATATTTAATTGTATTATTTTCCAGCCGCTCCAGTCGGAAATCTGAATTTTCAGACACGCCTTCTCAGTCATTTACTGAATCTTCTTCTCCAAGAGCTGGGTTCCCACTTCCTTCTAGCTATTCAGATGATTATAGTTCAACAGATAGAGGCCTCTCAAGTTACGAACCAGTTCCGTTCAGTGCTTCCCTGAATGAGTCTTCACCTACAGGAATTACAGATTACACTGCTCAAGGTGTGCTTTGTCTTAATATTTAGCAGTTTGTAGTACACTAGCTGTTGCCTTTCCCTTAGATGCTTCTCTTACTGAACTATATGTTTTCATCCCCTGTAAACATACGTGGTGCAATATAGTGGCTTTGAAGTTCCCGGAATCATTTTTACTACACAGGAGATTAAAATGTGTATTATTTTATGTTCTAACTGTAAACTAGATTCAGGGTAGGTTTTTTCAAGCTTTGTAGCTCTAATTGCTAAAAAAAAAAAAAAAAAGTTCAAGATTTCATTTTTTGTGAAACTGAACCTGCAAAAAACTCAGGCTGAAGTTCTTTTGGATTGAAATGAAGGTGCCTCTGCCATCCTTCTGCTGCCCTGGGCGCAGCATACGCTCTGCCATTTGTCTGCCAACCTTTCAGAGGTTTTCATTTTCACCCATGGCGGTGCTGTAACTATGTACTGCTATAATGCAGTGACGCAAAACTGGTTTTTTATAAAGTGACAAACACTTAGATCTGAGAACTGAATGCATGTTGTGTTCTGTCTGGCAACAGCTGATTTTCTCATGGAGTACTAAAACGGTTTTCAAGTGCTGTTCTGTGCAGCTGTTCCCCTCCTTCAGTATGAACTCTGTCCTCAGCGACTGCAGGGGAAACACGCAGTTCGGAATTCAGGTCTCTCTGGTACACAAAGGAGGAAGTTACTGTCAAATGCAGAGTTTTGTACTTTTAATTAGTTTGGATTTTTTTAGTTCCTTCGTGGAAAAGGTTTTATTTCATAAAAAAAATCCTTTCATGCAGCTTGGGTTTAGTTTCATAAAGGTATCGGATGTAAATGTCTCAAGGAAATCTTGATTATGCTTCATCATAAATACAAATATCTCAATTATAGAACTGAGATTCTGCATTACAAATGTAGACAAAAAGGATAAAACTTTGATCAGATGACATACGATGGATGTAGTCCTGATTCTTTGAAAGCAGAATTTAAAGCCTGAGTGGAAACCCTTGAGCTTCACCTAGACTTCTCTTCAGAGATCAGAAATATATCAAGTGTGTATGATTATCATAAATTTTACATAAAGGGATCGGAAGTATTTTATCCATCAACTACCACGTTGTTAGGATTTCCATTGGGTTAAATGAAGAAAAGGCATTAACGGCCAGTCTTCCAGAGCAGATTGACAGAATGAAAAGGATAAAAGGAATGGGTGAATTAAAGACTATGTACATTCTCAGTTGCATTTAGAATTGCAGCTGTCGGCTCCTTTTCCTTCGAGACTGAGCTGTAATTAACTGGCATTCTAAAACAGGTTATAGACATGTTTTGGAGTGTGATGCCATTTCTAGGATTTCAATGGTTTTTGGTTTTCAGATCCTGCTCCAATTCCAGAAGAAAGTCGTAAAAAAAAAGGCATCACATATGAGGAATTAAGGAATAAACACAGAGAGACATATGAGGTAATGCTACCACCAAAGGCAGAAACTCCAAGCAAGTTTTCCCAGGAAAAACCAGCTAAAGAAGGTAATAACTGATTTACAGAAATACATAGTAAATTCGAATATGGGCAATAATGTTAAAAATGGTTACAACCCCAAGATTTAATTCTGCTTACCCGTTAAGTAATTTATTTTTACAGTATCTGCAAGTATCTCATATGCGATGTGATCTGTAGCTTCATACTTCAGTTCTTTTTCAAAAATACTGATCTTCCAAGAGCAAATTCTACTTCCTCTTCCCTAGCCATACTGCTTGGTGCCAGACTGAAAATCTCTTAACTTTTGGTTTATTGACTATATAGAACAACCTCTTTCAATAAAGAATTCTCTGAGCTCATGGCTACACTGAAGAGTTTTAGTTATGGAAGGTGGTGTATGTTTTAGATAGCATTGTTCTCTCAAAATAGAGCACACTGTTGATGGTTTTGAAGGGGAGGGTATTTATTTTTATGAATTGTTTCACATGGAATTAGTGGATTTCTATAGAGGTATTGTTTGTAGAGGTTCGTTTTCTACATTGGAACTCAAAGGAAGGAAACAGCATTTGGCAGCAATATTTAGATTTCTTTTCACAGTGAAAAACAAAACTACATGGCAAAGTAAGAATGTAATATCCTGAAGAATAAGATGCCATTCAGTTGACTTTTTGACTCAATCAGTTGTTTTGAAAAAGCGAGACAGAAGCAATTCATAAATGCTCACCCTATAACTTTTAGAATTTAGCCTGGCATCTGTGAAAACGATGTTGGCAATAGGAATGTTTTACCGTTTAACACACCGCTGGACTCGAGTCAGCTTGAACTGTTTATGTGCAGCACCTGAGCAGCAAGGTCTGCAAGAATAGCAAATGCCTCCTGTTGAGTGTAACAGGTCATAATAAGTATAGAAAAGAATATTAAAGCAAAAAGCCCTGAAACAGTCCTAGTAAGCTTAGGAACAGTATTACTCTAAGAGTGTCAGTCTATTTCATGCTTGCAAATTACTTTCTCCAGATCATCTATCTGTGGCCAGATCTACACAGTCTTGAAATAAAAGTTATAAACAGTTATTGGGTAATGATTTAAATCTGTTGTTTCAAGGATGAAAGCCTTTTTATCTGACTGTGCCAAATGAAGCCTTAGAAAAATATTGAAGCTGTAGTTTCAGATTGCTACCAAATTACGTCAGCTGACACTTCATTGATGTACACTTTTCTTTTCTGAGATATTTCTCCACAAATAGAAGGCCTAGAAATGTCACTTGAAGGCGACACACAGAAAACTTCAGCAACATTTTGCAAACCTTGCCATGTCCTATGGCAGATCTCATGGCTGTGAAATGAGAACATGCATTAGTTAATTTTAGTTATTTGAGGCCTATAAGAGACCTCTATAAAATGTTGATCAAATATTACCCTGTCTGTGTTCTGTCTGATGGTTGTGCTCAGACTTTGACAATAGAGCTACGCTGAGCAGTGTATGAGATTTGTAAATAAGCTTTTAAGAGTACTCACTTTGTATTTTAGGGAAAAAGAGTAAGGAGGAAATACCGACATTCAGAAATGTTTGACAGATGGAAGTACATTTAAAACTGTAGCTCAGGGATTCTAACGATGTTGCGGGCTAAGATCTGATTTAGCTTCTTGTGTCACACTGGACACGTTGCTTGTGGTGTGCGTGTTCACTCCTTCTGAGTCTTTACCCCTTTGTTCATCCCCTGCTCTCTGTGTCACAGGAACCAGACTAGCAACCAGGGGAGTGTGCTTTCTGCCCTTTGTTGCAGGGACATAAGGGAAAACAAGCCATGTTTAAACAAGTTTTAGGCAGTCCCTAACTCCCATCTGCTGGAGCCTTCTCCCACCTTTGTAGCCGTACAATCACACGCATCCGCACAGTGATCTGGCCTGGACTACTTTCCAGGGAATGAGCGCAGCCTGCCACGGTTAATAGAAACAGAAATCAGATTGTACTTTGAGAGAGCTTCTCACTGTGCCTTACTGCAGTGTCGGGCGGCTTAAAAGAGATTTGTCCACACATCGTGCTAAGTTTGCTGGCACCTCACTGAAATGAGGACCATGTGTTGCACTCCATTCCACTGGTTCTGCTGCAGAGAGGTATTAATAAACAGGGGGCTTGGTAATTAACCTGCAAGCAGATTTCTGAAGGGCTGCCTGACTAGTGTCGGCGTTCCTGCTGGTCTGTCCTTTACCCTGTCAGTGGTGGCCATCAGTCACAGAGCACGGTGCAGCTCATGTTCAGGAGAGCATCTTTGCACTTTCTGGTCCAGTTACACGTGACACACTTGAGAATAAATCCATTAAGACCAGTACCCTGGGTTTTTTTGTGGGGTTTGTTTTTTTTTTTTTACTGTCTGACTCACTCCTGTACTAAAGGAAGCCGCCAAATAATAATGGCTGAGTAGTTTCCTAGTAGGAATTACTGCTTTCTGTTTGTTTGTCTTTGAATATAACTATCCTGAATCCATCTAATTGCTCACGTAACTAGGTTATGCAGCCACATTATTTATCGTAACATTCCTTGCTCGTTTCCTCCAATTGTCTTTGTTTCGTCCACATGTTACATTTGTTTCAAATTGCAAATTCTGTACAGCAGG